GGGTTTAGGGGTTTGGGATGTAGGGGTTTAGGGTTTAGGGGTTTAGGGGTTTAGGGGTTTTAGGGTTTAGGGTTTAGGGGTTTAGGGGTTTTGGGGTTTTGGGGTTTTGGGGCTTAGGGGTTAGGGTTGAGGGGTTTAGGGGTTTAGGTTTAGGGTACCCCAAACCCTAATTAAACCCTAAACCCTAAATTCAAGCTCTTCCGCTTAATTGCTGAATGGCCCTCACGACTTGAATCGGAGTTTCGGCGGAATCGCGCTTTTGGGCTCGGAGAATGCCACTTAAACTGGGGAGGGGTTGGTTGTAGCACCTGACTGGCATCTCAGATTTTATCATGAACATCTCCAGCTACGTAGCGAAATTGAGACGATGCTGCGAACAAGGCTTCTGCAGCATCTGGAGCCCAAAAGTGCAAAGGCCCAGTACTAGTCAGCCGCCAGCTGCAAGCTCCCGACAAGCTGGGGGGGCGCCCTCTAACACTGAGTTGTAATTCCGGAGCCCCCCTCAAGATTTGTGAGCAGTTTGTTTTTGCACGACCCCTTTCCCTCCGGTGTGACAGTTCTGAAAGCGGTATTCTGCTGGACTGATTAGGGTTTGGGGCTGCAGGCTTAAGGCAGCTGCGCTGTAGGGCTTGCATAAGGTATTCATATGGGGGCTATCATGGAAGGGATATTCCCAGTAGATGTTCATCTTCCTAAGCCTTCAAGCTAGCCTTCAAGTCTAAACATGTCTAGACCTGAATTCGTGTCTATTTTTCAGACCGCTATATTCTGTACTTATACTGTTCCATACATACAGGACTTCCATCATACATATACATACTTCTACATACTGCATATCTATACATGTACATGTATTAAATACGTATACACATACATATACATGTACATATACATACAATAAAACTATAATGAAATAGAACAGAACAGAATAAAGTATAATACCTACAGTCTCCATTGTAGTTCCTTTTTCTGGTTTAACCAATTTTATTGGGATCCTATAATAAGGTAACCCCAACAAGGAACTACAATGGAGACTATAGGTATTATTCTTGCCGAGCCGAAGGGCCACTCTGACGGGGTGGCAGCGAGAGGATTAGCTCAAACGCCGGCACCAGGTAGGCCAGGGTCTTCCCTGGTGTAGACGTTTTATTAGGGGTTTAGGGTTTAGGGACGGTAGTTCAGTTTTGGGTTAGCTGCTTGTTTCCCTAAACCCTAAACCCTAAACCCTAAACCCTAAACCGTTTCAAGTCATTTCAGGTCATGGCAACTTGCGGTTGGAGACTTCTCAGTTGGCTTCCCTGTTCTCTTGCCTCTTCGTCTTTTCGCAGACGTTGCTTTCCTTCTTCCTTCCCCTAACCCCCCAGGTGCCCACTATATAGGGTACTAGAGCCCCTAGGGCCCTATACAGTAGGTACCTGGGGGGTTAGGGTTCCTTCATTGTAACCTGTCCTCGTAAACATGCGCTGTGCCAAGCCGAAGACCACGAAACATGCAGCCAAGTGTATCCGAAACACGCGTTCTAGAGGTGCCGGCGTAAGGAACATGCAAGCGTGCTAGACACTGCATCAAGCATGTAGATGGAAAGCCCTGTAACCCCTGAACCTTAAGTCCTGATGTAGGGGCCTAGATAATTACCAATACTATCTTGGGGGTTCCTTATTATAATTCTAGTATTATAATGGGCCCCCCCTATTCTAATTATTAAGGCCCCTATATTATATGCGACATCTCGACGCGCGCAAATCCGGCTGGCCTGAGCCAGTCTCCGAGCTAATGATGACCTGAGAGTTCGGGGCTCGTTCAAGTTCTGGCTCACTGATTGGGTGCTTGGTACTGTCTAGAAACTATAACAGAGCAGAGCAAGGTCTGAATACTCAGCAGTTGCGATGTATCAGAGTACAAGTACAAGCGAATGTCGCAGAGTAGAGAGTGGATTCCTCGCGTAGAGGAGAAGGCACCATCAGGCCCTCGACACGAGAGGCGCCTGGTCTGAATTGGGCTCACGGGGTCCATGTTGTGGTACTGGGCCCCGAAGTGTAAAACCATGATAACCCCTACACTGCCCAAACCCCCAGACGCGAAATCCTCGTGTTGAACTCGTGCCCGAAGTCACCTCTTTCCTCCAGACCCTACCTGTAGTCTCCATTGCAGTTCCTTTTTTGCAGTTACCTTATAGGATCCCAATTATAAAACTGGTTAAACCAGGAAAAGGAACTACAATGGAGACTATAGGTAAGCCCTAAACCAGACATGATGCGGCGCGGCGGTCTTCAGAGAGGACGGACGGGATGGCAGCGGCCTACAAGGGCACTTAATTGGCTTTGGCTTCATTACTGGCCTTAGGGATCTTAGGGTTCATAGGGTTTAGGGTTGCATCTTTTTTTTGCGGGGCTTGGGATTTTGGGCTTTGGGCTGTAGATTGTTGAGCTCATAGTGTGTACGCAGGGCGCCCTGAGCCCTAGAACCCTAGCCCTTGACCCTTGGAGTGAGACAAACTCTGGCTCAGGGGCGGGTTTAGGGTTTAGGGTTTAGGGTTTAGGGTTTAGGATTCAGGGTTTAGTCGTCAGCTGCGTGTTCAGTGTAAAAGGCTCCGGACAGGTATCACTGCAGCACCGTATGCATGAGCATCATCAGCACATTCCGTTGAAGCATAACGTTTGATGTGAGTCTTCCAATAGATACCAATTGAGCTCTGGAAACGCAGCCTAGCACTCATATAGGGAGGAAAAGTGCTGCTCGCCTTTGAAGTTGTACAATATGGGGGCCTTAATACTTAGAATAGGTTTTGGGGCCGCTTATACTATAAAAATAATAAGGAGCCCCAAAAATAGTATCGGTAATTAGGCCTCTACATTACAGTGGCTACTTTGTAACCCAAGCACGAAAAAACCAGAGGCAGACCCAGCGCTATCATCGCTTTGGCGCCTGAACGCAGGTGGAATACACGTAGCCCAGGCTTGTCAAAGCCTGCAGGAAACGTTTGCTGTCAAATAGCAAGGAGCCACGTCTGCCAGGTAATTTGCGCCGAAAGTGATCAAAGTGGGTTCGCACAGCTGCACTCAGAAGTTGCACATTCGATGAACAGGGCTTATCTTTATGCGCCTGCAACGTTACCTGGCAGCTCTGCGTACGAACATCTGTGACTCTGCACGCCGAAGCCTAACGGCATTTGACCTCCAAGGAACACATCGCAGCGATTGGAGACCCCTAATCAAAACTCTAGACTCTAAACCCTAAGCCCTAGACCCTAAACCCTAGATTCTACAAGACCCTAAACCCCGGACCCTCAAGGAAGCTAAATCCTTTCGTATGCAGGCGATTGTCGGCCGGAAGTTAAATCAGGATCTTTAAGCCCTAGGCCTTGAACCATAATATGTAATAGTCAAATGTAGTATCCTGTAGCATAGCATGAAATGATATTATATAGTGTAGTATCGTATAATGGAATAGAGCAAAAGTAGAGTAGAGTCTAGCCTAGTCTAGTATAGTAAAGATTCTTATAGTTTTGTTTGGTATAAGAAACTGCATACCAACCCTGAATCAAGTTTTTCCGCCAAGGGAACATTCAAGAGCGGCTTCGAGGTGATGCCCAAAGAACCGAACTGAAGCCGCTTGCCGAAGATGATCTCTTCCTGGGCTGTTGACTGGACTGGCAAGAACACTACAGGTCATTAAACAAATAGCAGTGGCAGTTGCAGTAGAATGAAGTAGAAGTAGCATTAGCAGTCGTAGCAGCAGTTGTGGTAGTCGTAGTCCTTAGTACTCGTCACTCCTGCTGGTGGTGGCAAGGTGGTGGAAGCACTACTTGCCAATGACAAGATTGGAATAGTGCTGCGAGCAGCAACTGTGCACGTGATACCTCGTCAGTGCTGTCGATGCAGCTGCTGATGATAATTCCCTTGAATATGAGAACACTCATGATCAACAACGAGAACATCGGAAGAGCAACAGTCCTATCAGCAGTGAGAGTACTGATAGACGAACCTAATACCCACCATTATCAATCATAGCAAGAACAGCGACCGTGCAGCTCTCTTTCGTTCATGTCATCTTCCCTTTCATCATTTTCGATATATAATCTGCTTCTTCATAATGCTCTGAATCCGCTAAACCCTAAACCCTGAACCCCTAAACCCTAAATCTTGAAGCCCGAGGCCACTGCCCTGAAAACCTAAGCACGTCTGTCACAGTCAGCTGCGCGGCTTGGTCGACATTCTCCTCCGAGATTTCAACCTCAAAGCGCCGGCTCGAGAGACGGCCCACGGCCAGGCAGTGGAGATGTTTCGAGCTTAATTGGGAGGTTTGGAGTTTCATCTCTATATAGGGTTTAAGGTTAAGATACAAGGTCTTGGTGAGAAACCTTAGAAGGTTTGGGGTATCAACCTAAAGCGCAAAGCTGTAATTGAGGTTTCAGAGAGTTTCCCGTCAAGTAAACGACCGGGAGCTCAAGGATGCAACCTTCAGGGGTATCGAGCTGTTCGATCATGTCTTTTCCTGACTTGATCAGAGAAGATGCAACTGAATAGGTGTATCAA